AAAAAGTTTTTCAAATCCTTGAGTTTCTCTACGCTTGGTTATAGAGAACGTGTAAATTCTTTCCTCTTTTTTTTTTTTGGTATAAAAATTTCCATAAAATATTACAACAAAAGTTTCCAAATATGTTTTTTTCTGTTATAGAAAACCAGTAGAAAGTTTCCATAAAAATTTTACATACAACTTTGTCTCTCTGTATAAATTGGCAACTCTGTTTTCTTTTTTTTGTACATTTTGAGAAGAAAAAAAATACAGAAGAGAAATTGAGTGTATAATGGGGAATTTGAAAGAGGGTTTCCGATTCAGTCCTACTGATGCAGAAGCTGTTACTTTCTTGTTGAGATTCATCGCTGGAAAATTCATGAATGATTCTGGTTTCATCACTTCTCATGTTGATACTTACAGTAAGCAAGAACCATGGGATATTTACAGTCATGGAGTACCCTGCTGTAATGACGACGACTGTAGTCAGTATCGCTTCTTCATCACAAAACTCAAGAAGAAAAGCAAGTCAAGATATAGTCGCGATGTGGGAAATAAGGGCAGTTGGAAACAGCAAGACAAGAGCAAACCTGTTCGAAAGAAGGGTGGACCAGTGATTGGATACAAGAAGAGCATGTGTTATATGAATAAAGGCTATAAACAGGAAAATGGTCAGTGGTTGATGAAGGAATACGACCTCTCTACGTATATTCTTAACAAATTTGACAAGGATTGCAGAGATTATGTTCTCTGTGCTATTAAGAAGAGAACTCGCACCAAAGGCACAATGAAGTTGATGAATGCTGTTCCTGAAGAGTGCACGAATTCGGAAGACCAAAGTTCGGCGTCTGTTGAATCGACTAGTTATGACAAGGCATTACAAGCCCAGTTAGAGTTGCTGAACAATATGCAGGATGTTACTAACATGGTCGTTGAGCCATTATCATCCCTTGATACTTTTGAAGCCATGCCCATGCTAGATATTGATTTTGATATTTGACCTGACTTTGATTGTCTAGGAAGCATTACAGATTCATTATGTAGTTATTAATATTCTTGAACAAGCTGTATAATTCAATTTCTCTACTTCTATTAAATAGGAGTGGAACACATGTTAAAGCATTACAGATTCATTATCAAAGTTGAAACATATTTTTGGAATTTCCTAAATGCAATGATATGTAGGAATTACACAATTTCTAAAGCGATATTCAATCATCTTCTCCTAGTACAGTGGGATTACACCATGTTGTTGTTTTCATGCTAGAGTCAAAATTGTCAGAGGAGTGTATGTTTTCCATCCCTAACATTCACTCATACACTTGAAGAACAAACCTTCTCATCTGAGAGAACTTGCACGCGATTGCATTCACCTTTTTCCTCTCTGTCTCTTCATCCTCTTCTTCTTTCTTTTTATAGTTGGTAACATGATCCACTCTGATTATTCTACCCAGGATCTGAGCACCGTTTAAGTTATCTGCAAATCAACTATCAAAAAAGTGAGTTATATAGCCAAAATATGTTTGAACTATGTGACCTTATCTAAAATCTTATAAGTCGAACAAAGGACAAATCAAGCACTGGAAATTCTTTTCAAGGTTGAGCCTAAAAGAATACGAGAAAGAGAGATAGAGACGTACCCACGGCAAGATTTGTACTCCTTTGATCCTCGTAAGCAACAAAACCGAAACCCTTTGACTTGCCTGTACCTTTATCCCTAACAAGATTGACATCAACAACCTCCCCATACCTAATTAACATCAAAGACACTACTATTAGATGATGAAAACAAATTGATCAAAAAATAAGAAATGCTCAAAGTATAAGATGACTTACTCAGAGAAAACGGCGAGGAGATCACCTTCGGTGAGGTCAAAAGGAATGCCGCCAACGAATACATAAGCTGAGTCTTTGTATCTGGTATGACAGGATGCCTGATAATAGGAGATTCCTAAGGATGCTTCTTTTACATTAATATTCTTAACACGCTTCACTAGCCTCAACGGATTCATTGCAGTATTCCAATTCCTCAAACCTGAGTGGTCGTTTATTAATACAGAAATTAGTTTATTTTGTAGATATTAGGAAATTAAATTGAAGAAAAATAGAATAGATAAACATGTGAAGTGAGAAATTAGGACGCCAATTAATTGGAAACTCAACAAAAAAACTAACGTTTTTTTCAATTTCAATCATTCAAACAAACGGCGTGCAGCAAGGGAATTCGGAATAGAAAAACTAGATTTTGAATTTACCATTAGTCCGAGAAAACGATACCGGTTATCGGTGACCTGATTTCATATTTGGTCGAAACAGAAGCTGAGCAGCAAAAGGGTTTGTTAATCCACACAGTTCTGGAGTTGAGTATTTCTGTTGTGACGAAAAGATGAAAACGAACACCAAATACGGATCATGAGATCCAAATTGCTTCAGAGGGGCCTACAACAATTGCCTAAAAGCGAAGAAACAATAATTACACCAATAAAAGATAAATAGAAACAAACCGCCCATTATGACAGATAAAGAAAGAAGTGGAGCAATCTTTGCTACGTAGTTCACAACTTCCATATATATATATATATATATATATATATATCACTCCTTCAAGTTGGTGAAAGTTGAGTGAAAACCTCAAATGGTCATCAGATAAAGTACTAGAAGTAGATGTTTGTTTCAACATCCATTCCAATACAGCTGGACTTTCCAGAGCCCCTGTGTCCAATTAGTTAATCACTAGATTTACTGAACGCAAAATGTAATTTTGATGTTTGTCTAGATTGCGAACATGAAAATTGATTCTTCAGGACCTGAGATCAGCAGGGGCTTCATAGATACAAATTATGAAGGGCAGAGTAAGAAATGAGAAATTAAAAATTTCCTTAAAACCGGAGTTGTTAAAATCCATTCTAGGAAAGATGTTGAGGAATGAGGAGTTAGAATTTTTATTGGGGCCATAATTCATGACATTGTGAACGAAATATATCAAGAGATTGAATAGTGATTCGTCGTCTAAAAATTTTGTTGAATTGTGCTTGATTCTTAACGGCTCCATTAAGAATTTCATATCTTTACTTCAACTTTTTTTGTATCGTATGAAGACGATTTGTATTCTTTATTTGTAACATTAAACGTAAAGAATGTAGGCATAATTTCAATTTTTCATCCCACAAGCCACAAGAATGTGACTGGTTCTGTGACAAGCTCCTACAACAACTCTGACCTAACAGCCTAACGTTAACGTTTTACTTAACAAAAAATTAACCTTATGACGTTTCATTCATGTACTGTCAAACCTCTCTATAACAACGTAATTATAAAATTGGAAATCTTAGGATATCGGAATTAGTGTTTCAAAAATTTTATACCTTATATTCAGTCCTACTGATAGCAAATGTGTTCAATAGTACCTACTCAAGAACAAGTTCCTCTAATTATCTGAAGCATCAAAATTAAAAAAGAACTAGTGATTGAATTGTTGGTTTTGGAGCATTTTAATATTATATAATTATAGTTAAGGTGCATATTCCATTTCCAGAACTTTTGTCTCTTTTCCCTGTTCTAGTGTACATATGTTTGTGTAAAAGAATCAAAATCTTTTCTGTGATAATTATTTTGTGGGAAAATAATGCCTTGTTATTATTGATATGTACAAAATAGAACTCTACAACAGTAAAAGTATTCAAGGTTTAATGAATACTCGTGTCAAATGTTTTGTATGATAAAAATGTGTCACCAAAACTTAGATGTGTTGTATAGAGCAGAGTGTTGGTAGTCAAGAACTCGCACATCCATCCAAAAGATGCAAGTAACGTAGATGATATTGTTGAGATAGATGTGTGGAAACACTAAGAGAGAAGATTAGGAACATAGATATATGAGACAAGGTGTGAGTAACCTCTGTGGAGGACAAGATGAGATTGAGATGGTTTGGATATGTGAAGAGGAAATGCACAGATGACTCTCACCCAATGAGGAGGGTGATGAGGTGACAAAAGTTGGTTGTAGTGGCTCTTAGGAGAAGTAGAGGTAGACCGAAGAAGTACTAAGGGGAGGTGATTAAATATGACATGACATGCAGCTTACTGAGGACATGACCATAGATAGGAGAATATAAAAGTTGCGGATTAGGGTAGAAGGTTAGTAAATAGTTGATCGTGGTCTAGTTTCCGATATTAGTATTATCATTAGTACTCACCCACTCTTTTATTCTTCGATTCTACTATTACTTGTTGTTTTCATTGCTTCAACTATTGTATTATTTGTTATTGCTAATGTTCTTTTCTCCGTTGTCTTAATGAGTTCTATCACTACGGTATATCCTTTTACTCACTGATTTTGACATGCTTTACTTGAGCCGAGGGTCTATCAGAAACAATATATTTATCTTCACAAGATTAGGGTAAGATTACGTATGCATCACCCTCATAAGGTGTGAATTACATTTGATACGTTATTGTACCACAATTTTACTCTGAAATAAAAAAAATTAAAAATATGACGGTTAGCTTAAATAGCAGTATCAATAATTGAGAAAAAATCTACACAATAAATATATGAGAATTGAACAATTTTAAATTTGAAAAGTGAGAGTTTGAAATAATCACATCGAAGAAAATTGTGATTAAATATGTTTTTATATTTTCTAAATGATATTTCATTTTTTTGTCACAAACACCATATACTTAAAATTATTATTTTTTATATTATAAAGAAAAATAAAGTTAAAATTGGAGTTCTCAACCTTCCCAAAAAAAAAAAACTTTCCAAATCCTAAGTTTCTATATGCTTGGTTATAGAGAATGTGTAATTTCTTTCCTCTTTATTTTTTTGGTATAAAAATTTCCATAAAATATTACAACAAAAGTTTCCAAATATGTTTTTTTTCTGTTATAGCAAACGTGTAGAAGTATAGAAAGTTTCCATAAAAAATTTACATACAACTTTGCCTCTCTGCATAAATTGGCAACTCTGTTTTCTTCTTTTGTACGAAGAAAAAAAACAGAAGAGAAATTGAGTGTATAATGGAGAATTTGGAAGAGGGTTTCCGGTTCAGTCCGACTGATGCAGAAGCTGTTACTTTCTTGTTGAGATTCATTGCTGGAAAATTCATGGATGATTCTGGATTCATCACTACTCATGTTGATACTTACAGTGAACAAGAACCATGGGATATTTACAGTCATGGAGTACCCTGCTGTAATGACGACGACTGTAGTCAGTATCGCTTCTTCATCACAAAGCTCAAGAAGAAAAGCGAGTCCAGATATAGTCGTGATGTGGGAAATAAGGGCAGTTGGAAACAGCAAGACAAGAGCAAACCTGTTCGAAAGAACGGAGGACCAGTGATTGGATACAAGAAGAGCATGTGTTATAAGAATAAAGGCTATAAACAGGAAGATGGCCATTGGTTGATGAAGGAATACGACCTCTCAACGTATATTCTTGATAAATTTGACAAGGATTGCAGAGATTATGTTCTATGTGCTATTAAGAAGAGAACTCGCACCAAAGCCACAATGATGCATGTTGATGAATGAAGAGTGCACGAATTCGGAAGATCAAACCTAGGTCTGTGGAATCAACGGAAAATGTGTTGCACCTTTATCCTTATTATTGTTACTATATAACTTTTTATATTTAAAATTGTGTTATCTAATTGAAAATGCTTAATTAAATCAACAATATTACTTAATTTTGTTTGTTTGTCCTTGTGAACGATCGAATGAAGAAGATATTATTACTTCCTGTTAGCTCTGCAGCAGCAACAACAACAATTTGTAGTACAATTTGCTGAAAAGCTTCTTTTCTGGTTAATTGATTGAAATACCTTTAAATTTGATTAAAGTAAAATAAACTTGCTACTTCAACTCTTTTAATTTTAAATTAACTCAAAAACAAATTAATTTGTGTCTCAATTCACTTTTACTTTTATCTGGAAGACGAGGAAGAAATTACGATGTTTTTAAAGAAAATTACTTTTTTCTTGAGGAAGACCTTTTGAATTGAAAAGAGTCCTACATAGGGTTTCTACGAGGGGAGGATATTTTGGGGTTTACAAAAATATTTAAGGGATAATAATTTCATTATTGACGGTTGTGGTAACGTAAGTATAGGGAAAGGAGGCAGAAATCAATTTACGACTAACACTTTTGCCTTTTTTTGTGATGATGTCTTCAGCACAAGGTTTGTGTCTTAACTTTAGATAAAATTATCGTGTTCAAGATCCTGATGTGTATTAAATTATTTAAATCTTACCATTGAGATTTGTATAGTCAAAAATTTTGGTAATAAGATAAATCTTTTTTTTTTTTTTTACTTTTCCATGTTGCTGATGAAGTTGCTATAAAAATGGTAGTTTTCGCATTCTGAAATTCTTTAACGGAAGTGTTAGATAAAACATGTCTATTCCATTACTGTTGAGTGATGGGTGTCCTTAATTATGTTTTAATTTTAAATTAATTAATTAATTTGTAATTTTAATTTTTAAGGGGATGTGAGATGTGGAAGTCTTGGGAACGTGAGACTCCATAATTACTTGTCCACTTTTGAATTGATGCATCTATTAACAAAATAATGATTGGCATACTAAGTTTAGTATTTTACCCTATTATTATTATTATTATTATTATTATAGAGTACATGAATTTTAAATTTAAGATTTTCAAAAACTTCTACCATTTTCATAATTAATTAAGGTTTAACCCATTGATGGCCCCCTAAAGTTGACACAATATTTCACTTAGACATTTTAACTGAGTGATATTCATTTTAGACACTTCAAGTAGAAACTCACAGTGTCATTTTGACACTTTTTGCTTACATGCCATGAGTATGATACACTCATTGGTAGGCGCGTGAAGTGGTTATTTAGTTACTTTTTAATTATTTTTTTCTTCTTCTTCTCCATTTCTAACCACCATTTTGCTCAAGTTAAATCTCATCCATTGTAAATGAAGGTTTCAACAAAAATGATGGAATTTTTTTTAAAAAAAATTAAGAATTTAATAAACCCATTCATTAAATTCTTTGCGTCGGGGATTTATTTGGAGATCAGAAAAAAAATCAACTGATTGCACATCGTTCTGCAAAAGGGGTCGGGTATTTGGAGAAGAAAGTGCGGGGGTGGTTGCAGAAGGCGATCGGGTTTGTGGGTGGGGGTGGGAATGTTTGGAGAAGACGATGGGATGGGGATTTGGAGCAGGCAATTTGGGGTTGTGGGGTAGTTTAAATTTTTTTTTTTTTTGTTATTATTTGGGGAGTTTTTTTTTTTTTTTTTTTTTGTAATTATTTAGGGAAAAAGTATTATGTGTCATTAATTTATTGGTCAGTTTTATTTTTATTCAATATTAATTATTTAAAAAATTACTTTTGATATAAAAGACAAATGTCGTGATTTGATTTGTCACTTTACACATCAATTCGCGAGTGTAATACACACACATTATATATTTTTGTTGATATTAAAAAATGTGTCAAAATGACAAAGCGAGATCCTACATAAGGTGTCTAAAATAAACACCGTTTAGTTAAGATATCTAAGTGAAACATCGTGCCAACTTTAAGGGGCCACCGATGGGTTAGACCATTAATTTATGGTCAAACCCATCAGTGACCTCCTAAAGTTGGCAGGAATTTTCACTTAGACACTTTAACTAGATTTTGTTCATTTTAGACACCTCATGTCACAATGTCACATCACCTTATGTCATTTTGACACTTTTTTCACTAGCACATGTTGACTTCAAGTGCGTGTTAACCAAGCGCGTCCACGTGGATTAGATGCCCAACTATATCATGTCAACTCATTAAAAGTCTATCATATTAAAGAGAGAAAAAATAAGAATTAAAATACATGGCAAAGTGGCCAATGAATAAATGTCATGTGGGCTTTTTATCCCTAAAAATTAAATAAAATATTTGACAAATTTAAAGAAAAATGCAACCCCCACAACTTCCCCATTCATCTTCTCCATTGTATTGCTCCATTTTTATTATTTTTGAGCTTTATTTTTTCTGTCATAAACCAAACACCCACACAATCTACTCTGTCATATTCCATCATTTTCATTATCTTTTCCATCACACCCACAACCACACAGCCATTCTTCCTCGTTTTATTCCTCTTTTTCATGATTTTTTTCTGTCATATTTCCCATTCATTGCACCCTCCCTCCCATTTCTTCATATGATTTAGGGCTAAAAGGTGCAAATGTATAACAACAATGGTTTATATTTTTAAGATTGCAGACTCTTTTTCTTTAATTTTGTGATATTTGTAGTTTAATTAGGGCTCAAGGTTAGTGAGATTAACATTTACATATTAAAAATTGAGATTTTTTGGCTCCTATTTTAGGATTGTGGGTGAACTTTACATGGTTTGGGGTGTTGTTGATATGGGTTCGATTTCTTGTTTCTTTTGGGTCTATCTGTGTTTGTAGTGCGAAATTGAAATTGAAATTGAAATTATTATAACAAAAGATTTAACCTCCATCGAAGTACTCTAAGCTTTGAGAAATAATGGGAGAGATAGTGGCTATAAAATGAGAAAGAAGAAGAGATAAAATAAAATAAAATAGACTAAATAAGTCCCTCACATGTCAATAGCGAGTGTATAACACTCACTTTGCCATGTCAGCTGAAAGTGTCAAAATGACACAACAGAGCATGACATGAGGTGTCTAAAATGAACAAAGTCTAATTAAAGTGTCTAAGTGAAAATTGCTGCCAACTTTAGGGGGTCATCAATGGGTTAGGCCTTAATTTATTGAGGGTATAATATGTGAAAAAAAAATGTTTTTTCTTAATTTGTCAAAATAGACAAGTAAAAAGGGACCAGTAAAAAGGACTACTTAGTAACTTCTAATTTTAATTATTTTTAACTAATTAAATATATATGTCATGCCTCAATTAAGATTAAGATGTTTGAATTTGAATGCATATCTAAATAATTAAGATGTTGTCTTTAAATCTGATCGTCGAATGGCTAAGATCATTTGTTTCTCAATATCTAAATGTATGTTATTTTATTTAGTTTCAAAATATTAATAAACATAATAAAAGAGAGTTTTGAAATATCTTCAACGCCAATGACAGAAAATGAAGAAATTAATTAAATTTTAAATCTATTTTTTTTAATACCCAAATATCCAATTGTCCATTCTCATTAGCGAAGCCTTTCGTTGTAACTTGATAAAAGACGAAGAGGCTTTTACTTGCTAAACAAAATTCAGATTTTTAATAAAATTTGCTACCAACTATTGAAACAAATCATAAAAATTTCATGCAATTTTAAAAAGGAATTTAGACATCGTGAGACATAATCTTTGTAGTAATTTTTTTATGGGCATTTAGTCTGTTCGATTTTGAAAATTTTGGTTCAATTTTTCAATTCGGAAAAATCAAAACCAAATTAAAATTCATTTTGTTTGGTTCAATTTTCTGAAATTTTATTCGGTATTATTTCCTTTGAAATTTTATTTCGAGTTCTTGAATACGTGATAATTACATTTTATGAGAAGGATATGTGATAATTACATTTAATTTCAGTGTAGTAGATATCTAAAGTCAAATAGGCATTGCAAAAAGAATATTTTCAAATATAAAACAATTTTTTTTTTTGGTGAGACATCATTAATATCAAATTAATTATATGATGATTTTGAAAAATAAACAAACAGTTATGCATGCGAATAAACTTGTTGCTCATGCATTTTGCGAAAGTAACTATTAGAAGCCATTACCTAGCTATATATCAGTGAGTTTTTCTGTTCGGTTTTAAGCTGTTATTAACGGAAGGATGAAATCTGGTAATTTTATGAAACTTTAAGGATGCTATTTGTTTACAAGGATACTTTAAGGATGTACTTCAGGTTTTAAGTATAGTATAGGGATGTTTTTGACAAAAAAAAACTCTAATTTGATTCCTACAAGAAATAAAAGTTTGAAAAAGATGATGTAAAGAGTCAATTTAAGAAATTCTTAACAATTGATGATTTGGGTTTCTATTGGGAAAGACAAATTGGCGAAGAAGATAGGTTTTTTTTTTTTATAAAGAATTCAATAATGAATGAGCAAGAAAAGAGTCTGAAATCCAATCTTTGTCGAGGATCTGAGTGATTCAGATTTATTTAGAGGTATTAAGGACTCGTTTGGTAGGAGGTATAAATCAAAATAGTTCATAACAAAAACATTGTTTAGTTACTTTATTAACATAATCCATGAATTAGTTATACCTCATACAAGGTCTTATTTTATCCCTAGAAAAGGGAGAGATAACTAATTCAAGGTTTAACAATCCTTGAATAAGACCCCTAAAAGACTAAATTATCCCAAAAAAAAATTCCTAATTCTTTTTTGTAATTTAATGTTCCTTTTTATTTATATGAGAATATTTATAAATATTCTTTTAACTTCTCCAAATTTGTTCCATGTAATTTGATGATTTTCAAACTAATATTTTTTTCTCCATGTAAGATAAACTCGAACTCACTTTCAAATTCGATTTTAAAACAAAGGGCACAAAAAATGTTAAAACACA